AAAAAAAAAAAAAAAAAAAGAGGAGCCGCGGCAGCAGCAGCCCACCCGCAGAGGAAGCCCTGCGCGGCCCCGCATGCTGCGGCGCTCCACCGCCTGCCCCGCTTTGTCTGCGCTCCCGCCCGCCCGGCGCCGCGCTGCGCTCTTTTTGCACAGAGGTGCACAGGGCTTTGTCTGCGAAGCGGAGCCCGGCCACGGGCGCGGGAGTGCTCGCCGTGCGCGGCTTCGGGCTCTCGGGGMGGGCTGCTGTGCCTGGGAGCCAAGGGGGTAATGGCTTTGTTTTTCTCCCCGGGCTTTTATTTTGTTTTATTTTTTTGATGTAATTAAGGTCGGTGTCAAAAAGTGTCGCTGAAATGTACCGATTAAAATATCCGAGAATCAGGTTGTGTATTCCTGCATACGTGGGAAGGGGTATTGCAAATGGAGGTCGTTATGAACCTCATTTTTCCTGCTACCTGCTGCACTTAATRAGCTTATTGTTTCCAACTCCTAGCCGTTCTCACACAAGCAGTTTCAAAAATCAGCTACCTCTGGAAGAACAAGCTCTCGTTTCTCATGGTTGCTTAAATTATCTGAAAGATGTTACACAGCTTCCTTTCTGAAATACCAGCAGATTTCCTCTTTCTTTACCACTCATGGAGTGCCCATTTAGTTCATCAGTCACAAATCCTTCACGTACACAGTCCTCAGTGCACAACAAATTAGATCATTGGTTTGCAAGCAACATATCTGGACCTGCAACAACTGATAGGCTGCTCTTATGCATTTACAGAAGCAAAATAAGCAAAGCATATTTATTGCCAGTGGGCTTTAATTCACAGGCCCGGATCCTCACGTCCATTAAAAAAACTTTATTGGATCCAAATTTTTAAAGGATGTAAACAACTGAGGAAAAGGGCTCTTCTTTAGGGATGGACAGGTCTCAGAAGAGGGAGATTGATTTTTCCAGCCRGACATTGCTTTTAGGCTATGGGTGGCACAATGATTCTTACCTCTTGTATTTCAAGGGACAAACAGAGCATGTGTCTGACACTGGATTCCCATTTATCAGGGCTAGAGCCTCAGAAACATTTTAAGCTTCCATGAATTGCTTTCACCATCAGGAAAAAATATTTTACTCTCTGCTACTCTTTTTCACTGCTACACTAACCCTCCCCTTGGGCCAGCACAAGGAAACTGACTTGAATAAAGTRCTGAGATGAGTTTAAATGGTACCAGAGAAAAAAAATATGTAAGCAAATGCCTAAGTASATACTGCTGAGTTTTCAACACAGATAGGTTTTCCCATACTTGTTCATGATGGATAAATATGGCTAAAGCTTTATGCCAGCACCAGTGGCTGAGTGGGACAAGGAGGAGGAAAGGACAAAGCAAATTCTTTCAACTACAGTGCCACTTTATGGTGGCTCATATTGTTCATGTAGGCAGTCCTGTCCAGGGGAAGCTGTGAAGAGTTGGATGTATTAACTATGGGAAGCTTTGGGGTAGGCCCTCTGTCTTGTCCATCATCTTTTTGTCTTGGTTTCTTTGCTGTCTGGACTCTCTTATTTCAGTAGGCTTCCCAGTTTATACTGGGAGACCAGAACACAGTTTCACTGGGAGGACATGTGGGTTGAGGTTACTGTTCACTCACAACTTGGTTTGAAATTGCCTTGGTTTTAGCGACTGTGTAGAGTGCAATTGTAACTAGTGTTACTGCACTCATTCCTGCTGAGAATAGTTGAGATTAGCTCAGTCTCTTTTGTGGGTTTATTTTTAGTTAAACACCAGACTGCATGTACATTGTGTAGCTATTTGCGCACTATTTCTAAACACGTGTGAGCATACATTAAGATCAGTTTATCCACAAATATGCATAAAGGTACAGGGGTGTATTGCTGTGTGCAACTAGCTGTATATGCATGTACACTCAGCCTACATGGGTTCATCTGCCTAGCATGCCGGGGGAACAGATTTTGCTCCTAGATTAGAAATTAGTCAGTATGTAATCATGGGGACATCATGTAATTGCTCTGTGCTTCATCTTCCGATTGATAAACAGTGTGAGAAGGAGCTGTAGAAGTTGGAATCACACCATGCCAAGCAGATGGGAACTTAGAAGCCAGGCATSATCCTTTGGGTCAGCATATCCAACATCCTGCTGGGGAACCACGTCACTCCTCTRCTGGAAGAAAGAAAAGGTTTGAACYACAATGGAGCAGAACATCAGTGAAAGCAAATCTCTACCACCGACTATTTCATCTCTGACAAACTGATGCCATGCCATGAAGATCATCTCTTGGCAGACAGTGTCTATCCCCAGCCAGTTCTTTCTGTGACAGAAGGAGGCAGGGACAACAGTTAAAGTGTACCTGCTTTATTGCAAAAAGCATGGTAAAATCTCAAACGTGTTCTTAGTTGAAAAACACTACTTTCCACTTAAAATTTTATGATTAGGTCTTATTTCATTTTACCCCACTGATACCAGTTGATTGTACAGTTAGAAGAATACATTAATAGGTATGATCAACTGCTAGTGTCTAAGCTTATTTCAAAAATTTTATGCAAAATTTTAAATGCATGCCCTTCATGCTTTTACTCCCCATAATCATATGTGTCTGTAGCACCTTACYGGAAACAGCAAATCTTGAGTTCTTTTAAAGCTGTAAGATTTTTAAAAATTAGGTATCATTTTTCTATTTGAATTTGGATTGCTGCCATTAGATATCCAGTATTTGTGGATTTGAGTTTTTACAGTGGTGGTACGTTGCAGCTTTGAGCTGCTAAATGTCATCTCCATCTTCTGTGGAACAGGTTGCTGCATTTGAGGAACACARCTATTTTATGACCTTTTGATGTGACTAATCCAGAAAAATTTTGCCTGTTAGAATCTCTTAGTTTCACCTACTCGTACTTTCCAAAACTAGTTTGGAGTTGAAATTTCCCAGGCTGGAAGCTTTGAAGGGAAAAATAAAGAGATTTCAGTCCAGGTAGGGAACCTGTTTTTGTAATTTTAAGAGGCTCAACAGAGCCTCCATTTTTATGCTGCTCYTATAAAGTGATTTGGAACTACTAATTTGCATTTTCACTGAACTCAGTACATAGTATTACTAACTTTGATTTCTCTCCAATGAGTAACATTGCTGAATCCTGTCACGGTTGTGAGTTTTGCCTCCTCCTCAAACTTCTTACAGTCTCCAGGAAGGTTACAGGTGACAYGCTGGAAAGACAACCTCAAGGTTCAGCAAATTCACGTCAGCAGGTGCTGCAAGGTAGGTGTCAGTTTAGGCCGTGGGTGTCCCCTAGATGGTGTCCCCAGATGGTGTCCCTCACTACAGGCAGAGATCCTCTTCCCTGCAGCGATAGGAGGAGGTAATCTGGTCCTGAGCAGTCACGAGGGGATGGGAACGGAGGAAGGTGACAGGTCAGGGAGCTCAGACACGAGACCTTTCCCTGCCACATGGGGATCATTCACTGCACCACGAGGTGCCACCCAACTCTTTGGTAATCCCAACACTGCCTTCTCTGACTCTCAGTTAAGTGGGATAAATGGGTTGATACAGCCAATGAAGCATGAATTCATCCCATCTTAATAAAACACAAGCACAAATTGCCCCAGGACTGGCTTTAAAAGTCAGCATCCTAAGGTTGATCTGGTTGTGCCTAGGAGAGGAGAGGTGGTGCCTGTTTTCTACTTACTTGATGCTACTCACCCGTTCTGAAGTGCTGCAAAGGGATGTGCAGCCTTGGGGTGGGAAGGGAAGGAAGAAATGGAGGCTAGATAAAATGCCAGGTAAGGGAGACAGTGTTCAGCATGGAGAGCAAGGASAGAGAAGGCACTTTGAGGGGCTGACACAGAGACCCTGGTAACTCAGTTCCCAACCCCAAATCACGTGGGAATCCCTTCAAACCACCCAGCTACCAGACTTGAGGGATTTCAACTGGATGAAGAACTGACCCCTAAAAACATGACTCTGTTCCACCTCTCCTGCTCTTCCAGAAGTGATTTTTTTGAAAGATGGAGAGATTGAAGATTTAATACTTGTCTAAGCAGCTTTCAAGCTTGTTAAAGTGCTAATCCCATAACCCCCATCACAAGCCTGAAAGTGTGCAAAGACTTCACATGTCACTTCTGGATGACTCATATCCCCTGGGGGAGCAAGGGAAGCAGGAAGACACAGGAAGGAAAAGTATTTGGTTGGGGGTGTGAGGGTAGGGGCAAMTCAGAGCCAGTTTCCTCCAGAGGCYAGCCTGAGAAAGGCTGAGGGTGGACAGAGCAGCTCAGTGAAGGAGAGAGAAGGAGTGCTGAGTGGATGGGAGGGAAGGAGGGGACAGGACTTGATGAAGGGAAGACAATCCCTGTCATCAGGGAGCAGGGGTGTCTTCTCTGCATCCCCTGGACTCCAGAGCCTGGCATGGAGGAAAACAGCTTTTGCTCTCCATCCCTCACTAGAYGCCGTGGCAGAAGTCAGTGTTCTGCAGGGGAAGGTGTCCTAGAGAAGTCACCCAGCAGAGCTGGATTTAAAAGAGGACTGGATTATTTTAGGACCTCTCAGAAAACAGGTGGTTATGTAAGGCCAAATCTCAGCAAGTGTAATCAAATCTCAGTTCTAAGCTGATCACCAGGCAGGGTGTTAGGAGGTATTTACTCAARCATTCCTCCCTGTGTGGTGACTTTCCTCTGAAACAACCAGAACTGAAGCTGGAACTAAATTAGGAAAGCTGTGGCATCCTCTCCTCCTCTGCTGACCTTGGGAAATCTCCCTTGCCAGCTGCACCCTGACATTCCTCTGCTAAACACTGCCCTCAACAAAGGAACTTGATTTTATACTGGAATTTATGGCTTCTTGTCAGGTTGTGTCCAGTCTCTGGCTACCTCTTAGGTGCCTTATGTACCTCAGTGTTTTGCCTGTWGCTCAGGGCAGGCTGCTTGCAGCTATATAAGCTATCTCTGAAGCCATGAGACAATAATTACCAGCAACATTTTTTCCTTTATTGCACTTGTGCTGTTCCCATATTATTGGTCTCACAGCCCTGCCTCCATCAACCCCCACAGCGTTATTATGGTGGATTCTCATGGAAGAATTGGTGTGAGAATTGCTCTTCCTCCCACTCCTTCTTTTTCTCTTGTATTGTAGACTTCAGTATATAAAGGAGGAAAACAAATGTGGTGCTCMACAAAAGAGCCAACGGCTATTTAAATTCTTGGTAAATATTATCCAATATTATATATTCACAGAAGACTAACAAGCAATGAATGTGCAGCATTTGCATGATGAGCGTTCTCCTCCCAAATCTAATAGAAACACAACCAGAAATAACCCATAGGAGGTTAAGTGGCTCTTGATGAAGAGCATATCATGCTAAGGGGAATCGTGGCAGAGAAATCATCATACTGGCCATTTTCACTGTTATCACCTGCAGCATTGGAGAGAGCCCTCAGAGGAGAATATTCCTCTGGGATGCCATCATTGCCCTTCACAGCTTGCTAGTGGGGGAAAAGTCCCCTTTTTCTCTGTCTCCTTTTCCTTTATTTTCCTTTTCAATCTAGAAATAACTTTCAGCATTACAGCCAAAGTGTGCCATCAGCTGTCAGTGTGCCACAAATAAATCTTCATGTGTACAAAACTGTCAGAGCATCCTTTGTGCAACATGTACATGCCCCACATGCAGTGATGATGCTAAATGATTCACTTAGTCTAGGGTGTGTGTATGATACTTGACTGGACCAGGAAGCAAATTGCAGTTCCAGGTTATTGGAATAGAAATATCCATAGTGGCCTCCCAGTAAGAAGCACTTTGTAGAGGTGGGTATACCTCCAGTGGAAAACAAGAGTGTAGAAGATCTAAAGTTTTTTGGTTTTTTTTTTTTAAAGGGTTGGAATCTGACAGTGAAAAGCCATTCAAAACAAAAACAAATAAGCAAACAACCAAACACTACAACATTAAGCTTGACACATGTGCAAGATCCTGATGGGACAACAGATGGCTTAGTACTAGTTGTACACTAGTAGTAGCCCTAAGCAATGAAAGGAGAAAATAATTTTTTTTAATTGATTCAGATTTTCATCCCCTAGCTTTTCCCCTTACACAATAATTTCCACCAGGGATCTGCTATCAAATGGCAGCTYGAGCATTTAGCATCCATGTGTCTGGGAGTTGAGCAGCAACCCAAGAGACCAAGATAATGGAGCAGGAAGAGCTGCCTCCTCTGCCCATTAGTCAAATGTTCCCAAGGAGAGTGTGAGATGCTCCCCAGAAGCAATCATTTCTTTCTGAAAGCCTCAACTGTTACGTGAAAAAAATCATAATAATTATGGCAAAAGGCTGAACTGAACGCAATTGCACAGTGGTGCTTTTATGTGGTAGGAGGAGGAAGGAAGAATATGTCTGTTGCAYGGTGTGAAAGCCATGGGAAGAGATGTGCCCCCTTAAAAAGAAGAAAGAAACATTTTACCAAAATGTTTAGAAGAGCCTGCCTTTATTCGGCTGCTGGTTGCCAAGGAGAAAAAATCGATCATTAAAAAAAAAAAAAAAAATGAACAAGATGAGAAAAGGAGCTGTCAGGGAAGGCGACATCTGGAGCTGAGTTGTGTACAGTTTCTTCTTCTTAGCCCAGTGACATTGAATCATTTGCTTTACTGTTTTAAACTGAAAAAAAGCTCTGGAACTATCTGATTTCTGTTTACATAAAAACACAGTCTTTTTTACAAGGCAGTATTGCTTCTCTGTTTAGTTCAATGTATGATCATTTTAGAGAGTGCTAGTGTACCATTTAATCACTGTTCACAGGTACGTGGCATGCAGAAGGAATCAATTATGAGAACAGAAAAATCTGCATAAGACCCTTGAGACAATACTGTGGAAACTGTGTGATTCAGGTACATTTTTAAGAGCAACCACAAGTTCTGATTTATGGCAGTCACATAGATAACCAGATTAACTACCTGGGTTTAATAAAAAAGGGGAAAATGTAAAGTTTTGGTTTAGCATGTTAATGTTSTGCATGCTCTGTGAATGTCATCCAGGAGAAAATTAATCTTATAAATGTAAAAGCAGATATTTTAATTGTGGGCAGAGTGAAAACAAGAAAGAAAGAATCTGTTTTAAAGCCATCTAACAAACTCAGTCCTATTGTGTCATTAACAGCAGCCTGGATGCAGACATTAAGCAAAATTGTTG